CGCAACCTCCCATAGCCTCCTTCCCCCCACTAGAGCCCTTATACTCTGATATCCCTGCTATTGTCTGCTGTGTTGTCGGCTCCCCCAGCCCTTCCCCACTACTTGCCCTTCTGGTGAATCTAGCCATCCTATCTAGAGGACTTTGTTTTAGGAAGATCAGCTGTTCCTCATCTAGCAGTAATCAGTTGTCAATATTCCTTTAGATAAGATTGGGGTCTGCTGTTCATTTTCCCATTTCTATGCTGGGTTACTATCTGGTAGTCCATTTGGTCACCCTGGATAACAACTCAAAAGAAGGTATCACCTGTCTGGCATTGTTCCTTGTTATGTAGCCTTTACTTATGCATATGGACTCTTAAGAAATTATATTGGCCAATTTAATCTTTGGATATACTTTCCTTTTGGGTGTTTAAGGCCATACAGTTGGCCCAGATAAACCAATTTCTTTTTGCTCTTAAGGTCATTTGAGGATCTGTTCCTCAGGGGCAACAGGGGTTTGGGAGGGCCTCCTGGCTCCTTTCTTTTACCAGTTCCAGCTATGTGAAGATAAGTCAAAAGTCCTGCTCGACCATGGTTGGCTTTGCTTGGAAGCATGGAGGAAATGTTTCCTCTGTGTTGACTCTCGTCTTTGTAGACTTGACACTGGTTCAAATCGGGGTCTCCATGGCCTCCTTGATCAAGAGGACAGGTGACCCATCACAATTACAGGACATTTTGAGAGATGCTCATAGTCCCCTGGAGGCCAAGGAGCAAAAACTGTCATTTATGTCCCTCTGACCAAATTATTATAGGCCTCAAAGTATGTCTATTAAACATCCAAGAAGGTTAGTTCCACCAGTCTGATACTTTTAATTACTGTGTGTCATGTAGATAAATCTTGGTCAAAGACCAGTTGTTCTCAGATAAACCTTACCTAGACATATATTTCTTGATTTGCTATGTATAGTTTGTCAGTAGGTTGGAGGAGTAATATGGTTCCCTCTGGTTTTCAAAAATAGCTAGGCATTATTCATCTCTCATATTGTCTCACCCCTTCATCATGGTTTTCCCACTTAAGGTGCCCCCTTGTCTCCCCTTTATCCCTTAATACTACCCTTCTCCTATGGTCCAACCTCTCTTGACTTCTGTCTTTCCCTTTATCCCCTAGGTTCTTTGTATACCCTTCCTTCCCCCTCCCTTAAACTAACCCAATTTTTATCCATATCTCCCTTATTAAGGCCTGTTTCCTACTGTTCTTCTCTTTCAGGTTCTTTCTTTTCCTTTACCTCCCTGTTTCCTTTCCATTATCCTGGTTCCTGTAGTTATGTCTGGATACATACTCACTTATCAAGGTTTGGTTCTAGGATCCACATATGAGGGAGAACATATGTCGATTTTTTTTTTTCTGAAATTGTGTTACTTCACTTACTATAACAGTTTCTATTTCCATCCATTGACCTGAAAATTTCATGATTTCATCTTTCTTTACTGCTGAGTAAAATGCCATCATATAAATGGACGACATTTTCATTATTCACTCGTCAGCTGAGGGACACTTAGGTTGCTTCCATCTCTTAGCTATTGTGAAAAGAGTGGCAACAAACATGGATGTACAAGTGTCTATGAAATAGGATGAGTTCTTTGGGTAAATGCCAAGGAGTGGTATAACTGGGTC